TTTAATAATAAAAATATTATTAATTTTTTTTTCTGAAACTGTCTCCATTTCCCTCCCATCACCCCCTCTCCAGTCACCGTACAATCTCCTACAATTCTTCAAATCTTTAAAAAAAATCACCTATTGCAAATCATATAACGGTTTAAATGGCTGCAAATCATTTGCAAATTACACGATGGAAGATGGGGTTTTAGGATTAGGGTTAGAGATTTAAATTTTGGGATTTATGAATTTAGGGAGATTTTGACAATAGCAAGAGGGACAATTGGTAGCGAAGGTTTGATAATGGGTGGGTGACAATTCGATGCGGTGAAGGCAGCCGATGGTGGCCGGTGACGAATGATAACGTGGGTTGGAAAGGGAAATTTTAAGGTTATGGGATCCTTTTTATAATTTCTGAAAAAATTTGGGTTTTTCTTTTAAATTAAAAATATTCTTAATTCTTTTTTAAAAAAAGAATTTTTTAAAAAAATATGAGCGTGACACGTGTCACTTAACAATCAAGTTTAACGGTTGTTACGGTCCAGACACCTAAAAGTGTAACGTTGAAAACGTTGTGTATTAAGCCAAAAAATACACCAAAAAATTAGTGGTTTTATAATCTTTCAAATAAATAATATATCATAAAAAGCCTCTTGACCCAACAGCATTACAACAAGAACATGAAGGAAAAGCCTGTAAAGTAAAATATTTGATAATGCCATATTCTTAAAATGTGTAAAATCTAACTGAATAAAATAAAATTAGATTTGGCCAAAATGGGATTGAAATGCTTGGTTTGGGTGTTGGGCAAAGCCTCATAATTTTGGAAGGAAAGTGGATCTCAAAACCTACAAAAATCAATAGATTCACATGTACACTGTCACCATCTACCTTTTTATAATTAGTAAAATCATTCCCCCACTCACCTACCTTGGGGCCTTTCCAGTCGAAACTAATTATTAAAAGATGCCATTATTTACTAATAACATGCGATTAAGAGAAGTTGAATTTATTACCTGGGCCTGCATGACCATGAAATAAAACATAAACAATTTGAGGCTTGGAGAATTCAATTTCTTTTAATAATAGAACATATCTTTATCACTTTATTCGACAATTATTTATAAAAAAATATGATTCATACATTATTAGATCAGAATATTTTTCTTTTTCCAATTTAAACTTTGAATTTTATCCTTAAAGAATGTCTTGATTTCCATTTTGGTTCTTCAAAATATGATTCTTAGTTTCATTCTGATTACCGTTTTCGCCTAACGCCTTTAAAAAATGATGTGGCCCTTCCATCCAAGTAACTAGTGACACATGAAGGACTAAATTGAGAATATATAATAGTTCAAGGGTAAATTTTTTATGCTAAATTTGTCATTCTCATCTTATCAATCCTATCTGTAATCAGATTTCTTTTAAAATTTATTTTTGGATATTCAAACTCTAATCTCTAAATTTGGTCGTGGATAAAAATTTTCATTATGGCTTACATACATATATCCTTAAACATCTTTTGATCTTTCTAATTTATAAAATAGAAAACCTCAAAATCCTTCAATATCGATTGAAAATATGGAGAAGACGATCAAAAGAAAAAAATTAATATAAAACATTTTAGGATAAATTACGCGTTTAGTACATAACTATCAGTTTTGGTCTGTTTCAATACTTAATCTTTCATTTTAAAAAAAAAATCACATCTAATGTATAGTTTTTGTTTCATTTTAATACATGTCATTAAAAACTTAACGAGCGGGCTGACGTGGCATACCTTCGATGGACGAACGGCCAATCTGAACATGGACCACAAAAGAATGATGAGACAACCAATATAGTCCAGTTTCAGGGCCATCAGACAGTGGACCACGAAGATCAGAGGATGAAAAAATCAAAGAGTTCATCAAAGAGTCAATCTCGATGAAACAGAGACCGAAATCACGATAATGGGGTCGAAAAGGCACAGGATGAAAAGATTGAGCTTCATCAACCGATAGATGTGACTGTCGACGCAGTGGATGGTGAGCCCCTCCATTAAGTTTTTAATGGCATGGTACTAGAATAAAACAAAAACTAAACTTACGTATGGTTTTGAAAAAGAATGAAAGTTTAGTTATTAAAATTGACAAAAACTGATAATTTATGTACTAAATGTATAATTTACCCAATACTTCAAAGGCTTCTTAAACTAACTCTTAAAAGCACAATTTAGTCTTGATTTGACCCTCTATATATCATTCATTAATTTACTGAGAGGACAACATAATTTATTAACGGTATTAGATGGAGGGGTCAAAATCGTTGAGAAAATAAAATTTTAAGGGTTATATTTGATAAAAAAAACGTTTTAAGACTAGAATGGGAATTATACCAAAATTTAGGGGATAAATTGTCAATTAATTTATGGAGGAAAGACGAGATTTGAATATGCCTTTACCTTCGTTAGGCAAATGCTTTGTTTAATTTTTTACATGATATCATTATACAATATTAATATAATATAAAAAAATAAAACAAACACAAAACAAATAGATAGAAATTATAGTCAGAGGGTAGGAGGTATCAAAATTTTAGCAGTTACATAGATAAACCCGGTTTTCCAATTGAAATTAAGGGTTGAGATATGTATACCAATTTCCAAAGATAATAACAATTTGGGTAAACTACATAAATAGTCACCAAACTTTTGGGTAAGTTTCATTTTGGTCACCTAACTTTTAAAACTTGTAATATAGTCAATGGACTTTTAGTTCATTTTCAGTAACGTCTCTGACGTTACCGCCTTAGTTTTATATGACGTGGCATGTTACCTCCCGTTAATCCTTCTTCTTCTTCAAGCAAAACAGACGTGATCTTGCAAACATCTAAAATGTAATCTTTGTACCTCAATATTTAGCCACCACCTATTTCAAAAGAAGAAGAAGAAGAAAGGTTAACGGGAGGTAATGTGCCACATTAGATAAAATTAACTGGAGGTAACATCAAAAACTTTACTGAAAATGAACTAAAAATTCAGTAGATGTATTGCAAGTTTTAAAAGTTGGGTGATCAAAATGAAAACACCCCAAAAGTTGGTGACTATTTATGTTATTAACCCTAATAATTTTTTTGATTACTCTAGGTAATAATAATTTAAACAAAACGATAGCATGTCAGAATGACGCATTTATAACTGTTCTAAGAATGGGGTAATTTGAGCATTAAATTCTAATATTATGAGAATGAATTCAAAGTGAGTAATAAATATATAAAAGTGTAAAAACCACATTGGCACTCGTGATTCCTCAACAATAATTAATGGAATGGAAATTTCAGGTGCATCCTACAGTAACAACATGTATTTAATGTGACTTTATCATCGTAATTCAAAATATATGAATTAATCAATTGATAGATATGATATCGTTTGATTATAAATACATTCATAAAAGGAGGTGAAAATAACACAAAAGTTTTCAATCAAAATTGGCGAAATACCCAAGTTTGATGACTAAAATGTAAACACCCTAAAAACTTTGTGACTATTTATATACTTTACCCCATATATTAGTTACAAATCATACTTTTTCATAAAAGAAGAATTCTTTCACATCTAAAATTCGAACAAAATAAAAGTAAATTGACTGAATTATAGCCAACAAAATGACGGCAATTTTGGGAATGCCAAAAAAACCTTTAAAAAAGCATAGTAAAAATTAGGTTAAATTATGATTAAATTTGACAATTAGCCTAAGTTGATATTTTTTTTATAATATTATTAGTTAATTTAAACAATTAACGACATTAATTATTTTGAGCCTAGGAGTGTTGATACAAGTTATTGAAATTCAAGAATTTGAGTTTGTAAGGCAAATTCGAATTCTATCACCGTCATTCTTGATGGACAATCTATAAATTTCTATGTAAATAGCAATTCGATCTTAGGAATGTAGAACAAAGAAAAAAATTAATTATTTTGATTAAAAGATTAGTGCATATTGTTTTCTTAAAAATCACATCTTCTAACTCAATATATTAACATGTATTTTTAGGGTAAAGTACACAAATGATCCCTTAATTATAAGGTGCCATTTTATTGAATTTATCGACTATTAAAAGTTTTAAAATGGTCTCCGATTATAAGATATTGCTTTGTTAAATCCTCCAATTATTAAAAGTTACAAAATGATTACTTGACTATTTATATGTTCTGAATTCATCATTTTCTATTAAAAATTAGATAATTCTGATCTAGATGTTAACATCTTGATTGAGATATGATAAAATCTCATCCCAGAACTGTTCGACCTGTATTTTATGGATTGACTCTTTGTTTACATTATCTCATTGAGCTAGTGCTTAAAATATTACATCGTTGAGCCATTGCTTGAAAGCAACGACAAAGTCAATAAACATTATTAAAATATGGTTTTATCATATAACATTCAACAAGTTAACGTCCAACTCAGACGATCGTTAATTTTTTAACGAAAAAAGACAAGTTTGAAACATATGAATAGTCGGATGAACATTTTGTAACTTTTAATAGTTAGGGACTTCATAAAATAATGTCTTATAATCGAGAGACTATTTTGTAACTTTTAATAGTCCGAGACTCAATTAAACAATATCTTATAGTTGAGGGATCATTTTGTAACTTTTTAAAGTATAAGGACTCAACAAAGTAATGCTATATAATCGAGGGACCATTTGCTTACTTTACCCTTTTATTGAAAATAGTGTGTTTTTTTAACCTACCTTAATATTTTAATTGAAATAATTAAAATTATTAATTAATTAGACTAAGTAGTGATATTATAAAAATAAATAATTATAATTATATACTAAATTAAGTATGGGATTATTCTCAAATTTATTCTCAAGAGAGGGACCAAAGCCAAAATTTGTTCTAATAATGACTAAAATTAGTATAAAAAGGGTAAACCGGCAGTAGCCGGTGATTCATCTCCACCGACAACCCTGTCCTTCATCTTCCTCAGCTTCCCGCAATTACCCACTCCACACACTAAACTAACAAACTTGATTGCACGAAACACAAAGCCTTCCAAAATGCTCCTAAAAAAAGGGAAACATTTTAGAGAAGGTTAGAATCCCAAGAGCTTTCGCACTCTCTCTGGACCTTACTTTTCAACTCTGCTTCAACCAACGACCCAATACAGAGCTCTTGGTAAGTTCAAACCATGAAATGTCTGTTTCATATTCTTTTTCCTTTTGCATTTCAGCCTTTTATTATTCGTCTTTTAACGTTCGTTGTCTTCTTACTTAGCTTCAGCTTTTTATTTTGTTGTTTGCATCCAGAAATGGCTTGACTACATCCCATTTCGATCTGTTTTCACTAGCCAACAATTTTATCTTCTTTGATTCTGATCTGCTCTGGGTTTTCTGTTTGCTCTGTTTCAGTTCCATTTTCGGGTTTGTATATTTTTCAAATATTTTTAATCTTTACATGCTTGAACCTTTTCAAATGGTGATCGAGTTCTTGGAATTATCATCTTTTTTGTTTTCAAAAAAAAAAAAGTGGGAGGTGCTGAATTTCGACCAACATTCATGTGGTTTGGGTTCTTTTTTCTTTTATGATTAAGATCTCTAGTAAGAGAACTAAGTCGTTTTTTAATCATAAAATTTGACGAATTTTGATTGGCAGGGAAAAAAGAAAGAAATATTTTTCCTGGTGAAAATACCTGAAAGCTAAAAGAGAGATTGCGACTGAAAAGTAAAGTTGGCTTAGTTGCTCAGCTGCATTGCATACTTTATTCGCCTACAATGCTTGGTTTATCTATAATTATTTTTTTTAACAAATCATCGGTTATACTCAGCAATATATACTTTTCTCTATTTTCTCTGTTTATTCATGTACTCAGTTATGGCTGATGTCCAAAAACTGTATATTTTCTTCAATGTATATACCCAAGGAAGTTTTTTTTTCCTGGGTCATCTCCGATCTGATGAAAAGTTTTCACTTTGTTTGGAATACCGGAAATACATCTCTTGGCCTTTTCTTCCCTTTTTCTTATTTGATCTGAGTTTTGTAACTTTTTCCACATCAACTTTGAATAGAAAATACATATCAAAGTAAACAAGAAACTGAAGATGCGCAATTTGTTTGATGTAGTGAGTAATGGGTCTGGTTGTTTTTCATTTAAGAATTCTTGTTTTGACAGTTCATACAATACATGCATGGTAAGATATTGGTTGTGGAAGAAGCACTGATCTAATAAGTTTTTAGTTACAGAGGAGGAGAGATTACATTTTTATAAGAGAAAATCGGACCAAAAATACCTTATAATATACGATTTTAACCAAATTTTTTTGGATTTGCCAAAATGACCAATAAAATCGCAACGCGATATCAAAATCGTAACGCGATTTAGAAAATCGCAACGTTAAAAAGAAAATCGCAACGGTCAAAAGAAAATCGCAACGCGATTTAGAAGAAAATCGCAATGGATTTAGAAGAAAATCGCAATGCGACTGAGAGAATCGCAATGCGATTTATAGAATCGCAATGCGATTGAGAGAATCGCAACGCGATTTAGAAAATCGCAACGTTAAAAAGAAAATCGCAACGGTCAAAAGAATAGTTAAAAAAATTTTGTTTCTTAAGAATTTTCTTTAAAAAGATAGTATCCGCGCGGACGTGTCGAAGACACGTACGACCACGACCACGACCACGACCACGACCACGACCACGACCACGACCCGACCCGACCCGAGACGAGACGGCGGCGGCGGCGGCGGCGGCGCGCGAGAGTCCCCCTTGTCTTCTTTCACTCAACAAGGAAGTGCAAAATACAAGCCTTAAATACCATTCCCAATAGTATTTCCAATACTATGTGGGATTGAGCATTACCAACACTTGTTCCAAATATCATTATTCTTCATAAGTTATCATCCATTACAATATGAATTAGTCGTGTTAATGAACCAATATACCTCATTAATATATGGTATTGTTGAACAAAAGAATGATGATGATGATCTTATTAAAGACCATCTAATACGAAAGAATCCAATGCATAACCGATACCTTATTGTGAAACTAATTCACATAGAGGTTGTACGTGAAAAAAAAATCTTTTACTTTTATAGTAAATATCTATCTCAATAATTTTAATATAAAAAATATATTTTTTATTTAATAATAGAATTATTTCATGTATTTATCAAGTTATAATTTTAAATACTTATTAAAATGAATTAATTTATTATCGATAATTCATATTGTAATGGATGATAACTTATGAAGAATAATGATATTGGGAACAAGTGTTGGTAATGCTCAATCCCACATAGTATTGGAAACACTATTGGGAATTATATTTAAGGCTTGTATTTTGCACTTCCTTGTTGAGTGAAAGAGGACAAGGGGGACTCTCGCGCGCCGCCGCCGTCTCGTCTCGGGTCGTGGTCGTGGTCGTGGTCGTGGTCGTGGTCGTGGTCGTGGTCGTGGTCGTGGTCGTGGTCGTGGTCGTGGTCGTGGTCGTGGTCGTGGTAATACGTGTCTTCGACACGTCCGCGCGGATACTATCTTTTTAGAGAAAATTCTTAAGAAACAAAATTTTTTTAACTATTCTTTTGACCGTTGCGATTCTATAAATCGCATTGCGATTCTCTCAGTCGCATTGCGATTTTCTTCTAAATCGCGTTGCGACTCTCTCAATCGCATTGCGATTCTATAAATCGCATTGCGATTCTATCAATCGCATTGCGATTTTCTTCTAAATCGCGTTGCGAACTTGGAAGCTCGCGTTGCGATTTTCTTTTGACCGTTGCGATTTTCTTTTTAACGTTGTGATTTTCTAAATCGGGTTGCGATTTTGATATCGCGTTGCGATTTTATTGGTCATTTTGGCAAATCCAAAAAAAATTGGTTAAAATCGTATATTATAAGGTATTTTTGGTCACTGAGGCGATTTTCTCTTTTTATAATTGTTTAAGACTCAACTTTTTGAATTATGGACCATTGTTTGTTTTTTATACATTCCAATAGCGATCTGTAGTTTGTATTTTACAGAACCTATTGATATAGGCCTTGAATTGTTGAATGCATTGCATGCTTCTCCTCTTTGTCATTTCTTTTATTTTTCTTCCTCATTTTCTCCCTGCTCTTCCTATGCTTTCAGCATGAAACTCTAAAGGGATGCAGTGCTGTTCTGTGAGACTATAGTTGAATTAACATTCTTTCATCATACTATTGTATCTTACTTTCTATGCGCACTTAGAGCTTGTAGAGTTTCTATTCTTGGTTAAGTTTAGCCGAGTTTGGCTAATATCAAGCTACAGATAATACGTTACTGATGAACCCGGGCCAGCTTCTCTCTTGTGCAGGGGCACTGAAGTGGCAGTAGGGCCTGAGTTGCCCTGTTTTGAGTGAGGTGGTTTCTTCCAAATACGTGCCATTTTGCATTCGGTGTTGACATTCAACAAACAAGTTTGGTAGGGATATCAACTGCTATTCCCTCTCTTCTCGTAGTTTCTTCCTTAACTGTAGTTTTAACTTATAAAGGGAATTGACTTCAAATATGAAAGACACTGGGACCAAGAGGAGAAATTCAGCTAATGTTCAACCGAAGCATCCTGGAAGAGCTGATAAGAGAAACAATAAACCAAATCAAGGGAATGGTGGCAAAATTTTGAAGTCAAAAGAACCTGAATCCAAAGCTTTAAGAGCTAGATCAGACCCTAGTTCTAAAGTAAGTGATTTGAATGTGGGCTCGGAGCCTACTGAAGTTTATGAAAACGTGATTATACACTATGTGGATGATGTTAACAAGCCTGAAGAAACATCTGCTGATCCGAAAGGTAATAAAATGGCCACAAAAGTAAAAAAAGATGAAGTTTTAGACGATTGCTCCAGTGATGTAGAGGGAGAAACAACCAGGGGAAAGGAAGAAGAATCAGATTCTGAGACAACAAAAGATTCAATATCTTCTGTGGGAGATCCCTCGACAGCTGAGGATGAAAGGGAAGAGAGTATTCCCAGAGTTTCTAATGGTGTTCACAATAACAACCTCACAAATGGCTCTTCCCATGATTCCAGAATAGAACCCAATCATGAAACTTATAAGTTACACTCAAAGGCGTTGAATAATACTCCTATGAAATCTTCAAAATCTAATGGAGACCCTCCTAAGAATGCTACTAAGAGTCCTTTAGAAAAAACATCAAAACTTTCTCCTACTCCATTTGAGTCTTTGGAAGTATCTACTGACAAGCATGCTGAAGAGCTGATAGAAGTCGATGCCTTAGATGAGACATCAAATGGCACTCAAAGTTTTGCAGGTGACAATGAGCCTGTTGATGCCGATGACAAATTTCAAGTTGAAAATGAGGCAGCTTTAAATGAAAAGATAAAAGAGATGAAGACAAGAATCGATAAACTTGAAGCAGAGCTGAGAGAAGTAGCTGCCCTGGAAATTTCTCTTTATTCTGTTGTTCCAGAGCATGGGAGCTCAGCACATAAACTGCACACACCTGCTCGACGTCTTGCTAGACTATATATACATGCTTGCAAGCATTGGGCTCAAAACAGACGAGCCACAGTTGCTAAAAACACCATGTCTGGGCTTATTCTGATCGCAAAATCTTGTGGTAATGATGTTTCGAGGTATGGAAATTATAAGCAGATATTATTTTTGTGAGCGCTTTAGAATGTGTCAATTTACCGTTGACAACTGAATCTTATTCTGCTTTTGTATTGTAAGGTTAACTTTCTGGTTATCAAACACTATACTGCTGAGGGGGGTCATTTCTCAATCATTTGGAAATTCATGCAACTCAAGGCCATTTTCCCGGCATTCTGAGTTGATTGGCAGTAACAAAAGGGGTGAAGTAAAGTCTACAACTCTAAAATGGAAAGGTGGTGCTGGTAGTAAACAATTAAATGGTTTTGGGCCGCTTGTCGACGATTGGCAAGAGACAGGAACCTTCACCTCTGCACTTGAAAAATTGGAATCTTGGTTGTTCTCTCGAATAGTTGAGTCAGTGTGGTGGCAGGTAAATAGATGCAAAATTGTTTACATTTATGTGAAACTGCTATTTGAAAATGTAGGTCATGTAATTGATTTACAGTTTTGAGCATCTAAACTACAAATAAGTGAAAGAATTTATGTGTGGTCCTTATTCCAGGCCCTTACTCCATATATGCAAACTCCTCTAGAGGGTTCATCCGTCAGCAGAACAATTGGAAAGTTGTTGGGGCCAGCCTTGGGCGACCAACAGCAAGGAAATTTCTCTATCAACTTATGGAAAAACGCTTTCCAAGATGCTTTTCAACGACTTTGTCCTGTTAGAGCAGGCTGTCATGAGTGTGGCTGCCTGCCAGTTATTGCAAGATTGGTATGTACTTATTATATGTTCTCCCTCTGTAAATTTTAAGCAGTAGCACGGTGTATCTTTGTAATGTTCTCATCTATTTATTCCTGGTGAACTAATTGATGTACCCTTTTTATCAGGTTATGGAACAGTGCGTTGCAAGGCTAGATGTAGCAATGTTCAATGCTATTTTGCGGGAGTCTGCTCATGAGATCCCAACAGATCCTGTATCTGATCCTATTGTAGACTCAACGGTTCTGCCTATTCCAGCAGGAGAACTCAGCTTTGGATCTGGTGCACAGCTAAAAAATGCTGTATGAATTTTATCAACTGACTATTATTTGTTTTCCTTGACATCTTTGGTATCTCTAATTGGGGCTAATCCTTGCACCATACCTCTTGGTATTAGTTACAAATAGCGGTTTTTGAGATAAAAATATGATTCATTTTCTGGAAACATATGATACAGAAAATGTAAAATATTTAGGTAGATATTTAGCTGCTTTAATTTTGGAACTGAACATCATATGGAAAGTGTGTTAAATATGAAATGATCTAAGCAGGTTGGTAACTGGTCTAGATGGCTGACTGATATGTTCGGCATGGATGGCAATGAAGATCAACCTACACAAGATGATTTCAGACAAAATGGAGATGGGGAACATAAATCCTTCCCTTTTCTTAATTCCCTTAGTGATCTTCTAATGCTCCCAAAGGACATGCTTTTGGACCGTTCGGTTAGAAAGGAGGTTGATTTCTAATTAAGTCTCCATTTTTCTCATCTCTGTGATGTTGGTGCCTCTCTTGACTATATTATTTTCATGGCTTTAGGTGTGCCCATCTATAGATCTTCCATTGGTTAAACGCATTCTCTGCAATTTCACACCAGATGAATTTTGTCCTGATCCTGTTCCAGGGGCTGTATTGGAAGCCTTGAATGCTGAGGTATGATTAGTTCGGGATTCTCTTGTTCTACGCATTTGTTTTTCGTACTTTTTAATAACTTGTAAGACTATTCTCGATGTCGGCCTTGAATATGCTATTTTGTGTTCCATATTTCATCCGACTCAATCTTGCCTTCACTCACTAAAAAAGTGGAAAAGTTATCTTGTTTCTGATTTATGGTTCTTTCGTCAATTAGACTATTGTCGAGAGGAGATTATCGGGAGAGCAGGCTAGAACTTTCCCTTATACAGCCGCCCTCGTTGTCTATACTCCTCCATCCTCCGCTGATGTCGCGGAAAAAGTTACGGAGGCAGGAGGGAAATCACCGATGTCTAGGAATGCACCGGAAGTACAGAGGAAAGGATATACCAGTGATGAGGAACTGGAAGAATTGAATTCTCCTCTTACATCAATAATTGATAAATTACCATTGTCACCGACGATTGTTGCCGATGGAGGAGTGAATGGAAACGATGAGCATGCAGGCTATGGTGGTGCAACTGCAAGATACGAACTCCTTCGCGAGGTATGGTCCGGTTGAGAGTTTGTGTTGGTTCGTGTTTGTACATCTCTTATGTTTTGTAGCCATGGAAAAGTGAATGTAAAGGTGAGGAAACATAAGTGAACATTATAGATGAATTAAAATTATAGGGAAATTTCAAACATGGTTTAATGACTTGAATGTGTACGGTGGGAAGAACTTGGTTTGATTTTGTTGAATGTGGAGAGAGCTTGAGATCCATTTGGTTTCAATACATAGAATAATTTCTTCTATCTCTATCTTTTTTGTTTTTGTTTGTCTAAAATATCGTTTTATGGTTAAGTTTTGATTATAATAATAAGATTAATATTTCAATAAGCATTAGTGGCCATCAAGGCACTGTAATCAGGGGAATGTTCGATCAGATTGAGTTTAGTGAAAAAAATAGAGGGTAAACTATACAAATAGTCACTAATGTTTGAGTAAGTTTTTATTTTCCTACTAAACTTTCAAATTGATCACTGACGTTGTTGATTTGAAACAAAATGGTGACGGAAAGTTGAGTTGTACCGTTAAATGCTTAACTAGACCGTTGAACAGTCACTCCACTACGATCACCTTCTTCCTTATTCTTCTCTGTCGTCCGCTACTTGCTTTCTCTCCTCTCATTCTCTCTCGCTCCGCCATATTTACAGTGAAATCCTGCTTTCTGGTTTTATGATCAGCTCTACACTTTGGCGCAAGACCCATCTTGTTGTTCTTTCTATGTTGTTTTTATTGGATCTACGTGTTTTCATGAACTATCAATCTCGTTCAGATTGAAACCCCATAACCATCCCATGTTTTCTTTAGTTTTTCTTTACCATTTTTCGTAAACAATATGATATAAGTTTTTTTTTTCTCAATAATAAAATTTCTACTTGAGACTAGACGTAGCATAAAGCAACTCAAGCAACAACGAAATCGTGTTAAGTAACTGTGTGAAGGATAAGTCGGGCCATTAGCATCCAACGAGATTAGTAATTCTACTTCTAGCTACAAACAATGATCATAATCATCAAAATGGGCAAGACAAAACAAAGGTCTATTTTTTCTTTTCCTTTTTCACACTGTAATGTTTCTCTACGGTGGAGTTGCCTTTCTATTTGCAAGTGTGGCCATTCATCTCTTTGTCGAGTTGGGTTTTCTTAAAATACAACAATAGTTTGATCGAAACTGAATTGGAATGAGATAAACCATATAGATCCATTGTATATTGAAAGAACAAAAATATGGCATTAACAACATAAAGAGGTCTGGAGAAAATTAGAAACCTCCATTGTAAGCACAAACGGCTATTTCCAGAATATATATGAACACCGACAGGAATACTCTGAAATTGCTCCTTTAAGATTTATATTTGAAAATTGTTCCCAATTATGACATTGGATAAATTTCCTTAAAAGCATAGTTTTGAGGTCTCATCAAACAAGATGATATATGTTTGACTGCATACACTTGTGTGAAATTTCAGCATTTTGTTCATAACATATAATACAAGTGATTCTAAGTTCTCCTTTTGATTACAAGTCCTATCAAACAATAACTAGTTTCAGGACCCCTAAAATTTATTATTGAACTCAGATATGGGATTGTTTACGAAAAATGGTAAATAAAAGCTAAAGAAAATAGGGGCTGGTTTTGCGGTTTCAATCAGAAAGAGATTGATAGCTTATGAAAACAAGTAGGCCAATAAAGGAAAACAACAGAGAAAGATTGAATAAGATGGTTCCCACACCTAAGTGTAGAGAAGAATAAGGAAGACGATGATGGTAGTGGGGTGATTGGTCGACGGGCCAGGTATGCAGCCAACGGTCCAAGTAAGCATTAAACTTTCCAACTCAACTTTCCCTCACCCACATTAACGGTTGTTAACAAGAGAGATCATTTTATTTCAAATTGGTAAGGTTAGTGATCAATTTGTAACTTTTGAAAGTTCAGTAGAAAAAATAAAACCTTACTCAAACATTAGTGACCATTTGTGCAGTTTACCCAAAAATAAGTTAATCAAATCAATAAGTATTATTATTTTATTTAAAAGTCTTTGAGTTGAATTTATATAATTTTAAGCATCAAATCATCAATTACATGTCTTAGCATTATTACCGGAACCTATGTTTTGAGTTCTACTGACAATGAAACCTTTTTCCCATAAAAAGTCATATCCAATTACAATATATTTCTTCTTGTTATATGAAGCAAAAACTAATAAACTTCATCAGCTATTAAAGATACACGATTATACATAATTGATCTCTAAATGTCGAATAAAAAGGAGACAACGAGCAAAGTAGAATCAATCCTAAATCCTCTGTATCATACTCTCCATATCTAAGTTTCTTTAAATACATAGAAGTAATCTACCAAAGGTGTAACTAAACGATGAGAATAAAAACACTACTTCAAATACAACTTGTTAGTTAGAGCATTTAACAGGCATAGTTACTCTAGTTTCAGCCATAATGAACGTGACAGTCTTTTCTTTCTGTAGAATTTCATTTGATAGGTATGTATAATTGCAATAGAATTTTTTGATCCTTATGTTGCTTTTTCTTTTCAAGTGTTAACATCGAAGATATATTATATAACCCTAGTAGGGCATCACCTGAATCCATCTACGATAAAATTGGCTATATCTTTACTTGCAATAATGAAAATCTGGTGTTATGTGTTGAAGTGAATGTCGTTTCATTTCTTCTTGTTTCTCTCCTGCTTTAATGACGTGAGTTACGCTGTTCATGAATCTTTTCCATTGTTCTTCTGCTTTCAATCTAAAGATCAAGCGTTTTATTAGTGATTCTTCATTTCCTATTCTTCATTCTCTGTATAAACGCTTCTTTCTTATTGTTTCGGTTAATAATGATTCTTATGAGTTTTCATTTTTTTTCAATATGGTATCAAAAGCCTGTCGATCTACGAGCTGGTGAAAGATCTTAGAGAAATATTGGTGAATGGGGTCCTTATAGAAGATAATTTGTGGACGTCATTGAGGAAGAAGGAAATGAAATGGAAGAACCTCCGATGCCACCACCTCAAGAGGAGATTTCAATGAAAACTATGTACGATGATGCACTTCGAGGCATTGGAAACTTGGATACTCGTATTACTATGATAGATCATCGTTTAGACTCCTTCAAGACTGACGTTCATTCGATTCGTAATGACGTCGATACATCATCACTTGATACCTCACTCTCCTTCGCCACCGCCTTCGGAAGAATAGGCATATTTATGATGTTTTTAGGACATTTTTCATTATTCTTGTTTTCATGCACTTTATGGATATTTTATCTTAGCACTTTATGTTTATCTATGTTTGGTACTTTATGTTCACTTATGTTTGAACTATTCTTGTTGATGATTTTATGCTTATGAACTTAATTATTTTATGTTAAGCATAATTTAATCTTGTCTTATTGTTGAATATTTAAGTCCCCTATTACACTAACATATTTTCTCTTTTGAAGCTTATTTTGATTTTGTTATAACAAAAAGGGAGAGAAATATGTGTAGTGTAAAATTTTCTAGCCAAAGTTTATTTTAGCCAAAAATTGTTTTACTAAGGGGGAGATTTTAATTTTTACAAAACTAAATTGACAAATCATTTTAAAGCTAAAGCAAATTTTCACAAAGGGTTTTGTTATATCAAAAAGGGCAGATTATTGAACCAACATTTGATTTTGATATTACATAATTTTTTAAATGTTTTAAGTTGTTAAGATTTGCTTTTTATGATTTTATAAATAATTTATCATAAACTATTTTAAAGCGTTTTTAAGTGTAAAAAAATATTAATAAGTGCTATTGAGTGATTTCATATTTTAGAAATGTTGTTTTAAAGCTCAAAACACTTAAAATTAGCCAAAAACCATTGTCAGTCTCGAGGTCAACATGTCAGTCTCAATACCAATATTTCAGTGTGCAATTTGGTATCGATACTATGGTGTTGGTCTCGATACTGATAGATGATTATCAATACTCATTTAAATAGTATTGATACAAGGGTTCAACGGTTATAGTTTTTACTGTTAGATGGTCAGTTTCGATACCCATTACTTGGTATCGATACCAAATGTGTAGATGAGCATTAAATGCTCAAAATTAATGAATCCAATGGCTCTAATCAACCCCCAACTTCTTCAAACGACTAGATTGATGTTAGAAAACATAAAAGGGACCAAGATTCAAATGCAGAACAAAAAAAGAAAGTCAATTGCAAGATCAATCCAATATCAAAAGAGTTATATAACTAAATTGTTAAATTTCTTTGTAATACAATTGTGACTTGTTTATTTTTAGCTCAAGTGTAATTTGGGTGTGTGCTTAATTAGTTGCAAACACATTTGTCTTTGTGAGGTTTTCTTTAGTTTACTAAATTTGTAACTCCTATTGTAGAGAGAGTGTAAACAAGGTTTGGGGTATAAACCTTGTGTGTCATTGTAAGGTTACACATTGTCTTCAAAGGTTAGCAAATCTATTGGATTTAAGAGATCCTTAGTTTGGATGTTAAGGTATTAGATGTATACTTTGATTTAGAAAATCGAACCACTCTAAATTCCTTGTGCAAAAGTTTTATTTTTTCGGGTGCTTCCACTACAAAGTTTTTAAAGGCCAATTCATCCTCTTTTGGCTATTTCGGTTGATCGATAAAGCTAACATTCTGTTTTTCAAGTCTTTCGTAGGATCACCATCCAATGGTTCCAATGGGATGATGACAACCAACTAGGCTTGGCCATTTCCTGTGATTCCTTCTACTGAGTGTATAAGGAGGCTTGTTGCTCCTGTTGAAATTCCTTATAGTGCTACTACAGTGGCGTTTGGTTCGCTTGAATCCCTTGGAATTAGGGGGGATTGGAATCCAATTCCACCACTTTCCCATGTTTGGTTCAAGTTTTCAAAGGGGGAATTGGAATCCAATTCCATCAAATGAGGGAAAGTAAATTCCATCAATAACATGATGGAGTTAAAATCCTTTGAAGGAGGGAATGTGAAATTTGACCATACTACCCTCATCAATCTTTTGATATTCGGGTCGGATTTTTTTTAAAAATTTTGGGATCAGGTCAAATTTTTTTAAAAAAATTCGGGTTCGGTCGGGTTTTTTTAAGTTTGATATTCGGGTCGGGTCGAGTTTTTTTAAGTGTGAAATTCGTGTAACACCCCCAACCCGTATCCGAGTCCGAGGTGTCACATTAATCATTCAAAGCATATACTTTTATAAAAAAACATAGAA